TTGCTTCTGAAAAAAATCCAGTCATTGTTTTCCTTATGGCATCCTTGAGTTCCTGGTTCCTGAGGCTGTAGATGAGGGGGTTCAGTGCTGGAGGTACCACTGAGTACAGAACTGACAGGGCCAGATCCAGGGATGGGGAGGAGATGAAGGGGGGCTTCAGGTAGGCAAATGCTGCAGTGCTGACAAACAGAGAGACCACAGCCAGGTGAGGGAGGCACGTGGAAAAGGCTTTGTGCCGTCCCTGCTGAGAGGGGATCCCTAGCACAGCCCTGAAGATCTGCACATAGGAGAACATAATGAAAACAAAACAACCAAAACCTAAACAGACACCAACCCCAATAAGCTGAATTTCCCTGAGGTAGCCTGAGTGTGAGCAGGAGAGCTTGAGGATGGCAGGGATTTCACAGAAGAACTGGCCCAGGGCATTGCCACGGCACAGAGGCAAAGAAGATGTATTGGTTGTGTGCAGCAGAGAATAGAGAAAGCCAGTGACCCAGGCAGCTGCTGCCATGTGGGCACAAGCTCTGCTGCCCAGGAGGGTCCCGTAGTGCAGGGGTTTGCAGATGGCAACGTAGCGGTCGTAGCACATGATGGTGAGGAGGGAAAACTCTGCTGAGATGAAAAAGGCAAAGAAAAAGACCTGTGCAGCACATCCTGTGTAGGAGATGGTTGTGGTGTCCCAGAGGGAATTGTGCATGGCTTTGGGGACAGTGGTGCAGATGCAGCCCAGGTCTGTGAGGGAGAGGTGGAGCAGGAAGAAGCCCATGGGGGTGTGCAGGTGGTGGTCGCAGGCTACGGCGCTGAGGATGAGGCCATTGGCCAGGAGGGCAGCCAGGGAGATGGCCAGGAAGAGCCAGAAGTGCAGGAGCTGCAGCTCCCGCCTGTCTGAGAATGCCAGGAGGAGGAACTGGGTGAGGGAGCTACTGTTGGACATTTGTTGCCTCTAGATGTGGGGCACTGTTCAAGTAGAAAAGAACAGTGACAAGTTAAGGTAGAGCATTCTAAAAAAAATCAAAGCCGCTTTCCAACACCCCTCTCACTGTTCCATTGGTTTTCCTTTTCTAGGAATCTCTTCTTCAGCTCCAGGGCTGGAGCCCTGCTCGGGGCTCCCTACATCTTCCATGAGGAGCAGACCCTCTGCCCACTGGCTGTGAGGGGTCAGTCCTGCTCTGCACTGCTGGGGTCATGGGCATGGTGGGCACAGGGACCTGTCCTGGTGTTCAGCTGTGTCAGATGGAACTGCTCCCACTGCAAAAGGGCTTGTCAGCATCTGCACTCCCAGAAGAACCAAGACAGCAGAAGGCAGTTTCAGAAGTTTGGTTTTGGTTTTTTTTTAGACTCCCCTCATCTCTCCTGAGGAGTGTTCCTGGATGTCAGAACCCCTCAGCACTTCTGATGCACTCAGGGAGAACAGAGCAGGTCCTGCCAGGCAGGAGAATTGTCCTGGGCTTAGTGCAGAGGGGACCTGGTCTGTCCCTCTCTCTTGTTCCCAATTGCCCTGGCTTTGCTCCTTCCTGAGATGGAGATTGATCACACTCCCAGTTTGGTCTGAAAAGCCACCAGACACTGTTGAGAGCAGAGGGATCCATCCCAGACCCCTCAAGGTCTCAGCCTGTCTCAAGGGCTCAGCAACCCACTTGGAGCCAAGGACACTCGTGGCTCATCTTCCCAACCCAACAGCATCTCCTGGCATGGGCACAGCATCTCTGTCCCTCTCCACTGGGGCTTTCAGAGAACACAGCTGTGCTGGGAGGATGGTTTGCATTCTCCAGGGCAGCTCCCAGCTTGGAAGGACACCTCAGAAAAGAGCCAAGTGTCCTAATGACAGGGTCTGATTGAGGGAAAAAGAGCTTTTTAACCAGGTCCACAGACTTCACTGCCCACAGCCCACAGCCCACAGGGCAGAGGACAATTGGAATGTCTCATTCCCAGGGACACACCTGCCTGGGGGGAATCCCAGGATCAGTGTTGGACTGTGTAGCTTGAACTGCCCTGCCCAGTGAGCCTGACTGAGAGAAGGAGGGAACAACCTCAGGACCAGGGGCAAGCTGAGAACCAAGGAAATGCACAGGGAGGGTCCAGCTGGGAGAGGCCAGGGCAGAGCCCACTGGGCACTCAGGGCAGCGTCACCCTGAGCCAGCTGTACCACCTCCCAGACACCAACAGTGCCAGTAAGTTGTTCTCAGCCCTGGGCAGCTCCCTAGAGTTCCCTCTGCAACTCAAACCACCAAGCATGTGGCTTGAGAGCTTGAGAGAAATCCCTCCTTGGACCTTCCCCTTGAAGTATCCCCTGGAAAATATCCTGGGGTGCTCTGGTTCTGTGAGCAGCCCTGACCCATAAAACTCTCCCTTGATAGCAGAAGAAACCTGCCCTGCCCTGCAGGGGTAGCTCAGAGAGAGACAGTCTGGAGATGGTTTGCACAAATTGATCATTACTGTCACTCTCGTCAAATAACTGAAGGAGTTCCAAAAATACTCCAGATACAGGAACAATCTTGTAAGCTACCTGATTCAAACCCTCCTCCTTCCTGTATAAAACCTGCTCCCGCTTTTGAACCTCACTTAAAAAATGTTTGGTTTACAGATGCTTCTGCCAGACGAGAAGGAAAAGTGTGGAAATATCGAGCCGTGGCCCTACATGTTGATTCAGGGAACAGGGTAGTGACAGAAGGAGAAGGGAGTGCTCAGGTCGGGGAGTTAGTAGCAGTATGGAGTGTATTTACCAGGGAAGCAGACACTGAAGGAGACACATCCATTTACACAGATTCCTATGCAGTATTCAAAGGATGTACAGAGTGGCTCCCTTTTTGGGAACAAAATCAATGGGAAGTGAATCAAGTATCAGTGTGGCAACAAGAAAAATGGAAAGAGATTCTAAACATTGCTAGACAAAAAACATTCCTTGTGGGATGGGTTGCTGCACACCAAACAGATAACAACCCTGCTCATCTGTTACACAATCAAGTAGACTCACTGACACGGTGAGCTAAGATAACAATGGAGGGAGAGGGACAAAATTGGGAACGTCTGTTAGAATGGTTACACGTAAAAAGAGACCACTCAGGAAACAGAGATCTGTTTAAAGAAGCAATCAGTAGAGGGTGGCCAGTTACCAGGGAGCTGTGCAACACAGTGATCTCTGCCTGTAGTCTGTGCCACACCAGGTTGAAAGATCCACTGAAGGATCCACCCCTGCACCTGAGGGATAACAAGGGATTGTGGGATACCTGGCAGGTAGACTACATCGGTCCTTTCCGAATTTCTTATGGAAAACAAGACATCCTGGTTGGGGTAGAGATAATATCAGGACCAACCCTGGCTGAAGCTGTGCGACGAGCCACGGGAGAGAATACTGTGAAAACTCTAAAGCTATGGTTCAGTTATCTGCCTAAACCAAAGTCTATCCAATCAGACAATGGGAGCCATTTCACTGCCGGGGTGGTACAAGAATGGGCCCGAGAAGAGGGAATTCAATGGACCTGCCACACTCCATATTATCCACAAGCAAATGGTGTTGTGGAACGTCCCAACGGGCTCCTAAAGCGAGCCATAAAACCTCATAACCCTGAATGGGCCTCCAGAGTTTCTGATGCAGTAACCAAAATCAAGAGCCCATGGGGAATAAATGGTTGCCCTCGAATTACAGCATTCTGCCCCGAACCTCCCACTATTGTACTGAGGGAAAACAAAAGTAAAGATCCTGTAAAACCACTCCATTATCCAGACCAACCCGTATTAGGAAATCTACCCTCTGTGGGACAGGTGCCACTCACTCTAAAAACCCCGGTTAACCCTCACACATGGGGAGCCACAGATGCTCATGAGAAGGACCATCGAATAAACACTCGATGGATTCTTCCTTCTTTTTAACAATCGGTCCGCAATGGGCCAGATTTGTTCCTTTTGCAGAAACCTACCAGCAGAAGAGATCACAAAGTGACAATAGAACTGAAGAGTTATATTGGTTTTTTGGGGTTTTTTTACCACATTGGTTGTTTGCATGAGTTTTATCTTAAAAATGTTATGATCCTAATAGTTTTGAACCTACCACAAGCATTGTGTTTGTGTTCCCCTACTCCCAAAATTGCTTGTATTAAGGATTGTTAACTTGTTTGTGTAGTTTTTCTGAGATGTACTGTTAGTTTAATTTTTGCCAAGTTTATTTTGTCTTTTTAAATATCTAAACTCAACCAAATCTAACCTGGGAGTTAGTACAAGTATTCGTGCATATTTGAAATCATACAAATATGTATTATATACATTAGCCTTCTGCCTTGAGAGGCACTGAATTTCATATTTGGTTAAAATTTAACAAATAGAACTAAATTGAAGCCCAAAGAGAACCTAAGAAAGCCTTTTACCAGCTCCCAAGTAACTCAATGTTTCTGATGTATAATTTCAAGTATGTGTATATGTTTGTAACCTTATTAATGTTAAGAAATTTGATTGTAGCCTATTACTCACCCTGATTACTCACGGGGTGGAGAGAGAGTAGCTAATACAAATTAGCTTACTATTTTATTATAAAGTTTTTATTGAGAGAGGAGAATTGCAGTGCATTGGGGCTGTCTCTTCCTTTCCTTTACTCTTCTGTCTTCCTGTCCACTACACGAGAAGCACCGCCCACAAAGAAAATTCACAGAGAAGAAAAACAAAATCATTGAATGCACAAATCACGGGGTGGGGTCAGAGACTGAAACAGTGAATGATTTATGCATTCTAAGAGACTTCTGCAGGCTTTTGACTTTCTGATGGGTAACTGGGTCCATCCCCCCCCCCTCCTCCAGTGCAGAAGATGTCAAGCCCCGAAAAGGTGGGAAGAGCCGAGTTTACCACGCCCTCCACATGAACTCCGGGCCAAAAAGGGGGACACCACCCTATGAAAACAACTCCCCGCCCTGGGGGAGGTGCAAAGGATATGGATTTTGACTGGTGACTTTGGGGTTTTGGCAGGGTTTTTGTTTTTCCTTCTCCCCCCACCACTCCTGCTGACAAGATGGGCAAGATGAGCATCTACCTCACAAGATCTGCTGCCGGAAGAAGAGCGTGTCCCAAAGGATGTCCTCAGCCTTCTCAGAGGGGACGTCAGATCCTCTCCAGGGATGGTCCCAGCCCTTCCCAATCCGGACTGGGCACCAGCTCCAACTCTTCCCTTGAAACAAACAACAAATTCATGACAGGAGATTACAAACCAAAAGTGGAAACAAGAAAAAGAGGTAAACTGTTAACATTCTGTCAGGGTTCTGAGGAAGGCCCAACCCCTCCAGGCCAAAGAAAAACCCCACCTCCCCCAGCTCAGGAAAACCCAGGCCTTCTCCCTGCCCTGCTGCACTGGCCCAAAGAAAGGCTCCTAAGCCAAGGCAGCCCAAGCCTTCCCTGGCCTGCAGCCCAAAGCAGCTGGTGTTCTGCAGCCCCGCCTTTGCTCCCCCCACGGGGGTTTGTTTTTGGCAGGCTGGCTGCCCCTGCCCCAGCCCTGCCCAGCAAAGGGGCAGTGGCAGAGGCTGGTGGCAGAGCCGGGCTCCCATTTCACCCCCAGCCCAGAGCACCCGCCCACCCTCCTGCCAAGAAGCAGCTTGGCAGCCGGCTGAAGAATTCCTCAGGTTCCCCGCCAGCAAAGGGGGAACCTTCGGTGCCCAGCCAGGCTGAGCAATGCCCGCGTCCGGGAGCACCCCCTGGGTGTGGACTCATCTGCAAACGGCGTGTGGAGCACGTCTGGGAGGAAGGGGCCAGAATCCAAGTCCATCATCCTCAGCTCGCCGGCGTCCAGGTCAGCTGAGAGCTTGTCATCCTTGACGTCGTCCTCCATGTCTCCAGCAGCAGGCCCACCCGGCACAGCTTCTCCAGAGGCCCCTTCTCCTTCCCTGGGGGCCAGACCAGGCTGTCAGCGTTCTGCCCAGGGCCCAGCTGTCTGTGAAGCGGGACCAGCAAAACCAGGTTGGATGGTGGCCACCAGCACTTGGAAGACCGGGTCTGCAGCCCAGCTCCAGCACAAAGAGGGGCGTGTTCCCGTGGGATGACCCCCCCTCAGTGCTACAGGCTGACCAGAAAGTCTGGTCTGCTTTTCTTTGCTTCTATCGCCAAGAGATGTGTGGAGGTGTTACTTGCCAGGCCCCTGGATCAAAGTGAGCACGTGGATCTCTCCCGTCTTCTAGGGCAGGGGAATGCCCTGCACCCAAGGATGGCACAAGAGGTCTTCCAATGCTGGCCTGTCCGAGGGGCGGATGGACAAACACCACCTGATAAGGTGCTGGCAGCCTGGGGGGAAAATGGCCGGTCAGTTGGAGAAGGATCCTGTCCCCTCTGTCCCACTGTCCACGTGCCCAGGCTGTGCTGGCTGTGCTCAGAGCTGTGCCCAAACTTCTCCATCGATTCTCCCTTTTGGAGGAGAGCAGGATGGCAGGACACAGGCCACCTCCTCCAGCCACCCATGGGACACAAACAGCTTCAAGAGCGGCGTCCTCGGGAGCCCGCTGCCCTCTCCCAACACCGTTATTCCCCCCGTGCCACAAAGATCGGTATCCACCTTCAGAGACCCGTGGTGGGAACGGGAGCTGGTCCCAGATGGTCTTGGGGCCTTTGCGGAAAGGGTGCTTCCCACAGACCATCTGGTAGAGCAGGATGCCCAGGGACCAGACGGTCGCCTCCTCGCCGTGGTAGCGTTGGAGGTAGATCCACTCTGGCGGGCTGTATGACAGTGTTCCTACGGAATACAGACGCGGTTCATCAGGTGGATGCTGCCTGCTCCCAGAGCCTCACCCCAGCATCCCTGGCAATGTGGGGCCTGCCCCAGTGGCACATGCTGTGACCCACTGCCTTCTCGCCGGCCCCTGACTCTCGGTTACAAACTCTGGGTTGGAGAAGAAGCCGCTGGTGTCCAAGAGGGCAGCGGAAGCCCTGGCAAGGCCCAACCACTACATGCAAGGGAAAAACCCCCCCAGTGCTGGGGCAAAGCCGTGCCTTCTCCCCGCCCCACTGCACTGCCCCCAACAATTCATCATAAGCCAAGGCAAACAAGGCGAGCGGAGCAGCCCAAACCCTTCCTCTCCTGCACACCAAGCCAGCTGGTGCACAGTTCTGACCCCCTTCTCTGCTACCCTCACGGGGGTTTTGGTCAGGCTGGCTCCCCCCTGCCCCACACCCAGCCCCATCCAAAAGCAACTTGGCTGAAGAACTAATCCTGTTCCCCCTCGGCCAAAGGGGCGATCTCCGGTGCCACACCCGGGCATGGCCATGCGATGCCCGGCACCAGGAGCATGCCCCGGCTGTGGGCTCACCTGCAAACTGGGTGTAGACCGTGTCCCGAAGGAAGGTGCCACATCCAAAGTCCAGGAGCTTGGCCTCGCCGGTGGCCAGGTGGAGGAGGATGTTCTGGGGCTTGATGTCCCGGTGCAGGACGCCGCAGCTGGTGCAGTGCCGCACGGCCTGCAGCACCTGGCGGAACAGCCCCCACGCCATCTCCTCCGGCAGGAACCCCCACGCCGTGATTAAGGCAGAGAGGTCCTGAGACGGCTCCGGATGCTCCATGACCAACAGGAAACCGTTGGGGAGCTCGACCCACTCCAGCAGCTGGATGACCCCAGGAAAGCCCTTGGACACCTTGTCCAGCAGCACGATCTCCAGGGGGGCCCGGGTGCCGTCAGGCTGCGGGGGGACCACGGGGTCGTCAGTGGGGCTGATGCCGTGCCTGTCTGCCTGCTACCCCTGCGCCAGCCCTGGATGCTCCCCGGCCCCCAGCGACCCCACGCCCACTCTCCCTCCAGGTGTCCCGGCGGCTTCCACCCTCCCGGGCCTCGGCTCGTCCCCGCCCGGCCCGCCCCGCTTTCTCCCGCTGGCCCCGCTCGCTCACCAGCTCGCCCCAGCGCCGGATGAGATCCCGGGGCACGGCTTTGATGGCCACCTGCAAGCCAAGGCCAAGGGCGGCTTGAGCTCGCCGCCCGTCCCGCTCTCCTCCTCCTCCCCTTCCTCCTCCTCCTGCTCCACTCACCGGGGCTCCGTCCCAGGTCGCCGCGTAGACGCGGCCGAAGCCGCCGCTGCCCAGCAGCGAATGCAGCCGGTAGCGCTCGTGCAGCGGCTCCTTGGCCTTCCGTGCGGGCGAGACGTGGCCGTCAGCGTTGGGGCCGGGGCCCGGCACGGCCCCCGAGCGCCCCTCAAGCGGCTCGGGCCGGGCTTCCCC